CGCGAATTGAAGGTATAGTTGTTAATAACGTTTACTACAATTTAGTCTCGACTCTTTTATACAATAAACTGCGCCGACGTAAGAGAGCTGGGAGAGCTGTCGCTCAGGGCAACCGCGTAGGAATTTTCAGTGGCGAATGAATGCACTAAACCGAAAATGTGTGGTATTTATTTATTATTTATTTTCATTAAAAACCACCAAAGTTCTAAATTACGATATCTGAATTCGTCATACATTGCCCCTTGCCCTCCGCAATGAACTATGTATGCCGAATGCGAAGGGAAAACTAATATTTGGGGTGCTCGGCAGAATGAACACAAACAGCCTCCTAATCGAAAATCGCCCCACACCTGGCGAAATGGACACAGGGCAAGGAACAATAAAGTTCAACTGTTGCCCGTTACAATGGATTCTTATGTGTTCCACTTCAAATTATCGTTAGAAGGGCCATGGTTACCAACCATATTGTATTTCTTAACAATTACATGATGAACTTGACATTTCCTATAGCAAACTACACATTTCAACCAATCAACTGAAAGAACCAAGACGCACGTTTTCTTTCTGTGCGCTAATAGAAAAATGAAATAAAGTCTGCAAAAACACCTTTTTTCACAGTCCGGGTATACAGGAATATATATAGTTTCAATCCTGATGGAAGTGGTGACAGAATGCGATGAAGTCGTTTTAGTGTGAGAAATGTTCCAAGCGATGACATGGCTTCCATTTAAGCTTGATTAATGTGGGTACGATTCCCGTGTCGTTATGAATATGACGGAGAGAAATCCAACTAGGACCCTAAGGAGATAGAACGAGCGAGAGAGAAAACGAGAAAGAAAGATGGGAAACAAACTTGTATACAATTCGTATCGAGTGACATTGCGATAAAAAAATGTTGTCACGTACGCAGAGGTGTACAGGCCAATGTAACAAAGCACACCAGCCATTGCTATTTTAAAAAAAATGACCCCACAATAACAAAATAGCAGCTTACGTTTAGATTGAAAGGAAAACAGCCATTTACGGTAAATTTGACCAATAGGTGAGTATAATTTCATTAAGACAGGACGTTAAGCTTGGAAAACTGAAGAGGATTTTGTTTTATTTTCATGCAAAAATTGAGACACGAAAATAATCAAGTTTTGTTATATCGTCGCTGTGAGAGACACGTACTAGGGATAAAAATGAACAAAATGCCCCTCATTTTTAATAAATCCCGGGTTTACGAGAACGGGGTTTCTCATCCATTATACCTCACAGTTTTTGTGAAAACCATCCAAATAAGATTACACGATTATAATTTTTTTTTTTTTTTTGGTGAATCGTCAAATAGCTGTGTTTGACTATTAGGCACATTTTTCGGAAGTGTTCCCTTCGCGCTTCATAGGTGTACGTGTGTTTTATAAATTAATTAATACTTAGATTCTATTGTTTTTAATTTTAACCCCCCTCAAAATATATTTAATTAAAAGTGCAACACGAAAGGATAATTAGCCAGAACCTTGTTAACTGCAAGATTGGTTTCGTTTCTATTGGGCCGAACCTTGCTATAGCACGTTAAAGTACGGTGTATTTGCATTTTAAATACGATTTGATACCAGAATAAAAAACGTGTGAAAATCGGCATTTTTTCTATGCGTGTATACAACTCGTTTCACACCCCACCGAAACGGAATGTTGATTGTTTTTAGAGAAACAAAAAGCTAGGTGTGAAAATTAGAATGAATATAATAGAGTGTTTTTAATTAAGCCGTCAAACACTAGTACGGTGTTACGGCTTTCAATATGACAACATCTTCTCCGTGATGTGCTTAGTCACCATGCAAAGTACGGGTAAACATGGAAATAATAAAACAATGCTGTTAAAAAATCGTGTTCTCAAAACAAATACAATTTACTGGCTACAGAGTTTCAGATTAAAAAGGGGAAAAAAAGAAAAAAACAATAAGAGTCGAGTACAATTTCTCTTCAATATAAAAAAACACATTTTTTTCACCATAATTTAATGAACAAATACGTTATATTTTCATAACAGAGACTCATAACTAGCACGATATTAGGTTTATACGATTGTAACACTGTCTCTGTCACGAAAAAAATCAAAACACAGAACGAGAATTTGCGTTTTCCGGATTAGAGTAGTGCTGGCAATGACTCTACACTGTGCGCTATGGCGGCGGCTCTGCCTATACCATACGCTATATAAACAACAGACAAAGCACTGGCGCCGAGCTGTCTGGGAGCTCAGGTAAACGGGATATCCTCGTTTTTCGGGCTCTCCCGCTCGCATGAGCTGCAAACAAACGGCACAGTTGTGAAATCGGTCATATGGCACATCATATAGACCACTATGACAGTGTCAGAAACGGGTTTTATGGCTCTGTTTCGCCAGAAAATTGAACAGATGAACCGGGGGCTGTCGCTCGGCCTTGGTTTTACATTCGAATACAACGGTCGTCTTTAACGTTCCCTGTTCATTGCGTTGTGACGTAGCCGGACACCCAGAAACCATTATATCGCCTCCGTGCCTATAGATCGCCTTAAAACGATTTGTACAGTTGACTGTTAGCCAATATCGACCAAGTAAACCACAGATACAATTGATTTTTTTTCTTTGGTCGAGGTTCCCGCAGTGTCCAAATTTGTTTCGGTATCGCCCGATCTACGTCACAACAAATATGGCTGTGCGTTTACCTTTCAATGGAAATTGAACTACAGCATGAACGTGATACACTAGATCGCTATTACGAAATCGCCACTGGCGCAAGGGTCGCCGAGAAATGCCCCAATGCAACCCCAACAACTTATTGCAGTGTAGCAAAGACAGCTTTTCTTTTAATTCTGACGATTTACCTGTGAGCACAACGTCCTTTTCTAATTGCAGTGATAAAAAAACCGGGGCGTAATTGAGCGAATTCGCACGTAAAATGTAATGACAGAAAAATTACCGGCCAATTACTCGTAGTGGGAATCTGTCCCAAATTCACCTGTCTTACTGACCGTTTAAAAAAATTAAATAATCCCTAAAACGTAATTTGCAGTTCGTTTAAAAATTCTTTAAACATTATCTGATTTAGCAGGCTTGCTATTATGGGGCTATGTTTGGAGAGTTTTGTGGGTACCAAGTCCGGGGGCCAAGTATATAGCAATTTGATTGAGATGCTTTATAATCGATTTGAAGAAGAGATAGCCCACAACAATTATGGAAACACCAACAACAATAGCAATATTTTTTTTAGATTTTGAAAGCCGTGTAGAGGATTGCTGTAGTTGATATTTTATACAAAATATCAGAACATTGAACCTGACCTTGCATACGTACGTACGGATTTCATCACCTGTTTTACTATAACTACTCTACTAGTTTTTTTTTTTTTTATGATTGGAATATCAGATCACCTAGGAAACCAGTTAGTTTATTCAAACGGTGTTGCATAATTCGTAATTTCAGTTCTCTGTTTAGTAATTGGTGTGGAATTTTCTACAACTGAATCTAATAGAATCGATTTTCTAATACGTGTTCGTGTCATACAAATCCTCTGACTGCATGGCAGTGTTTTCCAAATAATATTCTTACTAACACGTGTAGTGCATACAGTGTTAAGCCGTATGTATCGTGGCTATATGATACCCGTTTGTTTTTAAATGAACAATTATAAAAAAAAATCTTTCTCACATTTTTAATTCCCAGCAAATACCTTCAATAAATATATTTTTTAGTCCCCAATAACGATGCACGCAAACCAATACCGGGGTCACATTTCCGCAGCTTAACTTGGTATGATGGCTCCACAATAAATTAAAATTGTTATATTTACTTACAGAAAATCTTTTTACAGAAAAAAAATGGCGAAAACAAACTTGGGTCAATAAATAATTGTTTATAAAATCCTAAAATGAAAATCCGATGAAATCGTGTGTATTTTGAAATGTAATCGCGATACTAGTAGTGTAATTGTGAGCTTATAATGACACCAACTATTTCGACCCATCTATTTCCTAAATACAGACATATCACTATTTTTGTTAACCTTTCGTGTTATGTTGATTTGAAATGGTAGGCAGTAACCACAACTTAATTTATCCATGAATCCAAATGTCAATATCTCCGGCTCTTCAAGAACCAGAGATATCCCGCAAAACTGAATAAACCCAGGGGCATATGGCACGACGGTAGTCTTCGGGAATAAATAAAATAATACTAATAATTAACTCAAAACAGCATAATGTCGAATTTCAATAGCATGATCATGGCATGTTTTATTGGTGAAGTTTCATCAATGACAGTTTAGTGTGTGAGACGTCCATGATGTGTGTATGTATACATTCAAGACAGTGTCAAACAACGATTTCGGAATAACAACAAAATTTGAAATTGAAATTAATATTGTTATCATCACTATAATAGCTCACATATCATAAATGTGTCTATGACCAAATTCTCGTCATCAAATTCAAAAGAAAGGAAATCAAACACTTTTCTTTCTTTTTTTTCGAAGAGAAAACGAAACAAACAAAACAAAATTAAACATGACTTAGTTTACGGAGTAGTTCACGTAGGCTTATTGCTGAATATCTTCAGTCCACGCGTTGTACCGTGGGACGTAAATTGAAGTTTAATAATGTCACAAGAGTCTGAGTGGATATGTTCCGTAATTCCTACAACCGCCATTCATTCATCCAAACCTCACCCTCTAACGTCATGCACCAACCAACATATTGCGTCGTTTTAGTTCCCGTTTTTTAAAACAAAAAAAAAAGACAAAAAAAAAAACGGTTTTAGGTGTGAATACCAGAACAGTAAAAGTACCAGACAAGCCGTATAGTTGCGAACTACTATCTGCACTAACTTGTTTGCGTCAGCTTGTACGTTTCTTTGTAAACAAATACTAAACATTGTATTTAATAGTGCCAGTCGCTTCCTGATTCAGTTCGACCGGGTGCTAGTCGAATCATAATAAACCCATTCGTCTTCTCAGGAAACATACTAAAACTACAAATGAGAAATATGTACAATGTCTTTAATTTATCCCGCAGTATTTTGGATCAGTTTTTTTTCTCCGCTAAAAGCTACGTTTAGCTAAAACTTCGTCGCTATACGTTCAGTACCGGTCCTCTTTCGCCACGCAAAGGATTTTTCCCATGTAACTTACTTGTTACAGTCGAATAGGCAACTCAATGCTAAATGTTTGTTTTATAATAGTTTAACTTGACGGTAATTATAATAAAATGTTTATTTGTTAACGTGGTATGTATAGATAAACAACCACGAAAAAGAAATATACATATCTGTATACAAAGATACCATTCTCAGGTGATCGTTGACGTTTTTTTTTAGCTAACTGGGGGAACGTCAATGATGATTCAGCGTTGACATCAACGTGCTGGTAAGAGTTCGATTTTGGCTACTCACGTGTCCGTGGTGCACTGCGTGATGGTGATGGTGGTGGTGTGCTTGTGGTGCGGCTTGCACTAGAGTTCCAGTGTGTGAGTGCGCGGGGACGGGGTGTTGCGTAGGTAGCGGTCCCACGTTTTGAAGCGTTGGTTTCATGGGTAATGACAACGTCGGCGTCTGTCCGAATGGTGGCTTCAGTGCAGAACACGCAGAATTAAACTGGCTAGGGTAGTCGCTGTTGGTGTGACTGATTTGGCATGTATCGATGTTGCTGCAGTTACTATAGGCAGAACCGGGCCACGATGTGCCGTTCGGAAGCGCTGGGAATCCGCCCATCGTGATTGGTGGCACGAGCGGCTGGTTCGAAAGCATCGTAGGTCCCTTATAATCTGGAGCCATAATATTCTCGATCGTGAACGGCTGCTTAAACGCGGTGGCGTTAATATTTGGGTAGCCCTGTATGTGGGATCCCGGCGCCAACGCCGACAATCGTATTTTGGCTTGTTCTTGGAAAAATAGTGATGGGTCGGCGGGTTTCATCGGTATCTGTTCGGCAGCAAGAGCTGACTGTATCTGCGCAAACTGCTGTGCAAGGTGGGGCGATTTGAATCGCTTCCGTCGCCTCAGAAAGCTACCGTTCTCAAACATGTCACCACAAAAAGGATGCAGTGCCCAATAGCTACCTTTCCCAGGTCGATCAGGCCGTCGAGGTATCTTAATGAAACAGTCATTGAACGACAAATTGTGTCTGAGTGAGTTCTGCCATCTCTGGGTGTTCTTACGGTAGAATGGAAAACGGTCCATTATAAACTTGTATATATCGCTCAGAGGTAGCATTTTCTCCGTCGAGCTCTGAATTGCCATGGCAGTCAACGCGATGTAGGAATACGGTGGCTTTGCCTCGCTGTAGCTATTACGTCCTGGTCGCGGCATGGTCAATTGTTTTCGCTATCAATTGATTCCTTACTTCAGTTCAAATCACGTAGTACAGTCATGTGTTCACGATATGTATACTAGATATAGTAAAATACCTACTGCTGGTGCTGCCTCGCGTACTGTAGGCTGATAGCTGCTGCTGCTGATAGCCGTATGTCCGATTACGCACCGGTCGGTTCTTTTGGGCTGCACAATTCACAAATAGCTGCCGTTTCGTTTCGCTGTAGTTAGGCGGCGAATACGACTGTTCTCAGGACTGTTGGTTTATGACCACTTCAGCTCAGGTCGGGGCTATCGAGATAACTGCTCGATTGAATGCGAGGCTCCGTTCGCGTTTGCTATTGTTAGGTAAAGTGGGAACTCTGTGTGTGGAAACAGACACTGGTTGTGTTGACATATGTACGGCCCCCTATAGTGAGTTTTATTAATGCGAATGGGCCTCATTACCGAATGCCAATCACGCGGGGAGGCGTTAATCGGCGTTGATTCGCACCTTTTCACTGGACGAGGTAAAAAATAAATAAAAGATATGCAATTCAAATAGTTTGCACACAAATGAGACGGGAATATTTATTGAGACCGACACAGGCTTGGGTGAGGGAGGACGAACGGAGGGGGCTGTCTCTTCTCGCACGAACTTATTCTATCGATTTACATTGCCGAGGGTTTGGCATACTAACTGTATTAGACGCACTCTTGTAATATGGTAACACGGAACAAGGCTTTTTTTTTTTTTTTTTACACAACATTGTCCCGGCTTCTTGTATTTCCCATGTCGGGGAGTCTAATGACAATTTTTTTTAAATATTTTTATAAAAAAGTCGCCTTCTTTGTGTGTTTTTTTTATCCCATTGTTCTGAAGCCAAATTGCATTTTATAATCGGTACGCGTTTTCAGATGGGGGCTCGCAAACGCCGCAGAACAACTCCGGCGTTATTGAATTTTATTTGCCCGAGTGTACCAACTATTTAATGTATCCACGTCGAATAAAGACGGATTTTTTTTTTTACGCAGCAGAAAAGTGACAATTTCATTGAGTGGTGTTGACTTTACAAGGCCCTTTCAATCGATCGGTACTTTCTGTGGATTATATGATAAAGCACGACATTTTACACAGAAGAGGAGACGAAGCGAGGAGTCTTTGTATTAGTACGCTTTGTGTAAATGCCGGTGATTTCGTCTACATGCCCGTTGTCTGAAGCGTCCTCCAAGGAACAGTTTAGATTTTTAAAAGCCCCCCCCCCCCTTGCTTGCTGTTTTCTAATGTAATAGGCACCTCCCGTTTCTTTAGATATGCAGATTATTACAACTCCAAGCCGATCTTTAACTGATGGTTTATATTTGTGTACATATATGTCAGCTAGCGTTGCTTATATGCATCATTACCCCCACATACATTCCTTGAAGTACGCCAGGGCCGCAGTAACAGCGCTGCTACTATTACTGCTCCCTTCACAGTAGTCAGCTGATTTGTCAGAATCAGGCGTGTACACTCCGCCACTCCGTGTAAATAAAACGGTATCGTTTCGATGATAACAACTGATTAACAAAAACAATTCATGTATACGAGCACCAATGAAGGTGTTGATTGACCGGGATTTTGTCCGGATGTTTAGGGTGAACAGGGGGTTAAGTACACGACTGATTCGAGCACACCGTTCGGTATGCGCATTGTATTGGCGCTTGTTACGACCCTCAATTGAGCATGAAATAGATGACAAGCAGAGTCATGCATTTACTCGGAGAAATGGACGGCCCTCTTTTGCGAACACAAATAAGTTAATGACTGGGTGAACGCTTACGCTCAAATATTATTACAAACCATCTGATTTTCTTTAAATTGCTCTTCGGGTTATTTGATGAAATGAAGCAGACGGATAGCATATACAGCTATATGGCATTGGGTGTAGGGGCGTGCGAGAGACGTTCGGCCCACTGGCTACTGGTGCCCGAACCACAGAGCACCCACCCTATGAATGCTAACTACCCGAGTTGAGTCGGCAGTCGACGAACTTGCTTGAAAGTTATGTTGTTGTTTTATTTTGCACCCCGAAGGCAGTAACCAAATCGTCGTGTCAGTTCTGCGGTGATTTGTGTCACCTAACTTAACGACCTAACGAATTCGTTCACTATATTGGTGTCAAATGATGAGCCTGGCTGGAAACCATGATACCACCTTTGACACCGTGACACGGGCCGTTAATGTAATAAAACGTGTATTTTAATCGGTATGTTGCAATATCAATATTAATTAATTTATTAAAAGCGATGGAGGATATTTCTTATTCATGATTAGACACACAAATTTTGAATAAGTTTTTATCACCATCACTTTCATCCTCAATCATTTAGTCGAAATTGAGAACGAGGCTTCGTGTTAGAACTAGACCCATTCGTTCACTATTGAACATTTCATCAAAAGATTTGACGGAGACGTGACTGAGAATGAAACTGTTAACTCGCCAGCGCCGGTAGAGGATCGATGTGGACTTGTGTGAAGCCTCTTAAGTGCACCGACTCGATGATATCGGAATCGTCGCTCGATAAAGCCGAATGAATCGACCTTTTCAGACTTCGTTTTGAGTTCCACAAATTGAATTATCACTGAATAAAAGAGGGTCTAAGCTTGTTTATGTAAAAAACATGAACGCAGATCTTCTTTCTCTCCTCTGATAGTTTCTTGCCAGCGCAAAAAAAAAATAAAAAAAATAAAACGAACGTTTATTTGATATAATAATGTGCACGTTAAACAGTTTTATTGCGAGCTTACTGCACTGGTTTACTGTTGAATCATTCCGACGGTATGCGAATGAATGGACCGAGTCGGGCTTTGCTAAATAACATGTCACTCCCTCCGTAATGGAGATATACAAAAAAAAAAACTATCGATTTTTAGGCAACAAGAATCATACGCTAGAGACCAACTTTCGCACGTTTGACCCCAATGTCGCACAGCATTCCACTTTAACGACACTGTGTACACCTGCATAGCACCGACTCTGTAAATTTACACAACCTATGTGTACACAGCCGATTTTTAATAATATACATGCCAATTCACAAGGAGTTATCTAAATTCAATATTTACACGAGATCCACTCAATATTTCAGTTTACGGCAAGCGAAATATCTTCAGGTATTGTGAAAAGAAAGAAAATATGGATGTGTTTCTTATTCAATGAAAAAAAGAAGAAAGAAAAATCGCTAATTGAAATACAGAGAGACGCTTTTATCCGCTGTTCTTGTCGGATAATTGATTTGATTTCGCCATAAGTTCCTGCCAACAGGTCCCATAATGCACCTGTGGAATGATATGATGAACAGCCGTTCCACTTTGCCAATTGCACCGTGTTAAGCTCATTTACTGAAAGCATGATATTCGCCATATCGCGGAAGTCAACGGGAAGAATAGTAAAATTACTTTTTATAGATTGCATTTCAGGTAGCATAAATATACATCTATCGGGGCCATGCCGTGTCTTCCGCGTGTTTTGTGACATACTGAAAACTGCAGATTTAAATCCGTGTAATGAAATGACAATCTAGTTTCGAGAAGGGATATAGGAATCTAAATTGCTGCCCAGCTTTTTTTCATATAATCTAAAGAGCAATAACCATATTCTCCTTCTTTCACAACGGCGATAAAAGCACACTGTTCCCGCATTATATTGACTAACAAGGTGCCCCAGATCGACTAAGTGCCCGAACATGCCCGTATTATCAACTGCAATTTCAAGAAGTCATTATTTGCAGTTCGGAAGCTTACGCAGACGCACTGATGGACTGTGAATATTTGTTTCTAGAGATAAGTAATAAGACTTATATAGACATTACATTAAGGCAAATTAGGGAATCAATTTATCCGGCCGCGTTTTTACTGCATGCACAACTTAGTACAGCGGCGGCATTAGGAAGTCTACTTCCGTACATGCCCCTGTGTAATAGCTTGGAAGAATGGTGCAATGTTTGCCGCACAAATAAAATGCATCGATCCACTGTGCTTATTAGTACTTCAAAACGGCGCTAACTTTTGATTCCGTTCTCTTATTCCGTTTTCAATTGCCGTGAGTTTGGATATATGCACCCGTTTCCCGCGTCCCTATCATTAGACCCCCGCTCCAACTAATAAATCCGTCCCTGAAATTAGTATTTTCCTTTCGGGGGATGTGTTCTTTTTGAATAGGGGGCAAGCAAGAGCATGGGGACTCTGACACGACTTCTGTGTTACACGTCCGTCTCCGATCATGTCAATATTTTCATTAGGTGATTGTAGTCTCTACGACTTTTTGACAATCAGGTGCGAACGCTGTCCACTGAATACACAGTACAGTATATACATTGACATAGTAAACATAACTGAAGTACTCCTTTCACGACCAGGTGTGGATGAAGCAGTGTAGCTCACTTGACACCCTGCCCCGGTATTCCAATGGTCTCCAGGCAACCAGATCATACGTGCTATTCCCGAGCGTCGACAGATAATGAACCGACCCTCTTATTATCAGGAGGGGCCCATTGTGCGCCCTTCTGTTTGTTTGCCCTGGTGCATCAGAAGTTTATCACGAGCCGCCGATCCAAAAAAAAAAAGTTGAGAAATGCCAAAAACCCAACTACACGTATAGGTGTATTTTCCCCGACTACGTCACGGTAATAATCTCAAGACGCAGTGAAACATGCGTGAAGTTATACGTGCCTGTTCATCGAGATTGGAAACTTAATAAAAATAGTTTTTTTTTTAAAAAAAAAAAAAACATCGTGACAACAGTCACAATTCTCCTCATAAGTGTCAATGAGATGTGATTCACAATCTACACATAAATTAGCTTGGTCGATATTATTAAAAGTCGGGGATATATTGGATTTAACAGGCTCGCTAGAAAAGGATTAATTTGAGCTGCGAGGCATAAACCATTGAAGGTTGTGATATTCCGTGTACGTGTCTATGCAGTGCGTAAAGAATCGGTGACCTGCTCATATCCATGTATTCTAAGATCTCACAGAAAACTATTTTATCCAGCGAGGTAAATCTACGACAACTCGAATTAAACAAGTTAATGTATCTATTGAAGCGTCACCGCCAATTAGAATATAAGTTTATGAAAAAATGAACTGCAAAAAACGTTTGGTCTCCGGTGTAGCCAAATTCCAAATAGCGACGTTCCGCTGCATTCCTGCACCGTAACCGAGAGAGGGGGACTTTAATAACATGACACAATTCGTCTGACAATTTAGAAAATAACGCCAACAAGATTGATTACGCGTAAGATAAATCGGTGGCATTTTTCACCCCTACAACAGTTATACTGTTATTTCAGAGTATGAAGCAATAGTAGTTTGACACGTGTAATTAGATATGGAGGGGAT